TTCTTTCAAAATCAAATTAAATATTTAAAGCAAATATTCATATGTACACAAATAGCATAGGTATTTTATGTATTTAATATGATAAAAAGCAGAAAACCCATAAACGCAACAGGGAAAAATTCGTGTTTGCTTGGTCAAGAGCTTAGAGTTTAAAACACTTTGAAAAATCAGGATACTCAAGTATTTACTCAACAAAGTTAATTAAATGTACATAGCTTAGAATATTGCATGTTTATCTTAGATTTAAATAAAGAGTTCCATAAAAGAGGTTTCGTAGAGATTTTTCCATATATGAATTAAAACTTTGTTTCGGTCAATCGAGCTTTAACTACAACGTCTTGCTAAGTTCTTGTAGTCATACTACCTGAGAGCATACAGAGTCCGACCATCAAAGAACCAATCCAACCGATCACCGCCAGGTCAGCAGACGTCGACTTGACCAGTTCAGTGTGAATTATTCCAGTTGTCCCTTGTATTCCGACATGGATTACGTAGATAAAAAACACAGCTACTACTACTATCCACCCATATCCGCCCTCTGATCTGCTTATCTGCGCTAACATCACTCAGCAGACGATGTAGATGTATATGTCTTTTTAAAATATCCTGCGCATATATACTAAGCATTACGTGCTGTGAATATATTTTAGGAATTATCATTGTTTAAAAGGTAGTGAGTTTGCATTTATCGACCGAGTTCAACGACTTATTTGACCATCCTAGGCATTGAAAAGACAAGAGGTCCATGAGCCACAACGCTTACCTGAGTATCTATACTGTGGCCCCTTTTGTTAATCAGCAGATTCTTTTTCCTATATATTCTCATGTAAAATTTCATCACTCTTTATAGTCCCAGCTTATTCCCGGAGGTAATGATTTGAACAAACTTGAATCTACACTATCTGTTTGTTTTTTTTAAATAAATATGACTATTCAGGACTTTCCTGTTCCTGGGAAAAAGATTTTTAAAGATTTTTCTATGTTACACTTTGATCATCCATTGTGGCTACACCCTCCCCACAGGGGTCATGATTAGAACAAACCTGAATATAGACTACCTGTGGATGCTTACCTATAAATATGACTGATCATGGCTTTGGTGTTCTTCATCAGAAGATTTTTTAAAGATTTCTTCTAAGTATTCTATGGAAAACTTTGATCGCCCATAGTGGCCACACCCTACCCCCGGGGGTCATGATTTGAACAAACTTTAATCTACACAACCTGAAGATGCTTCTATATGAATATGACTGTTCATGGCCACACCCTACCCCCAGAGGTCATGATTTGAACAAACTAAAACCAACGCTGCCTATGGATGTCTTCATATAAATATGACTGATCTTGGCTTTGGTGTTCTTCAGAAGAGGATTTTAAAATTTTTTTACCATATATACCCATGTACAACTTTGATCGCCCGTAGTTGCCGCAACCTACCCCCGGGGGTCATGATTTGAATAAATTTGAATCTGCACTAATGTCAGGAAGCTTTCAAATAATTTTCATCTTTTCTAGCCCAGTGGTTCCTGGTAAGAAGATTTTTAAATGACTGCGCCCATTTTTTTTTTTTACCTTTTCTTAATTATCTCCCCTTGGAAGACTGCGTGGTCCTTCATTTGAATAAACTTGAATCCCCTTCACCAAAGGATACTCTGTGCTAAGTTTAGTTGAAATTGGCCCAGTGGTGAAGAAGACAAAATTGTAAAAAGTTAACGTCGACAGCGACAGACAACTATGGAGGGTAATCGTGTTCAAAAATCCAGACTTGTAAGTTTGTAAATCCAAACATGTAAGTTTGTAAATCCAAACTTGTAATCGTATCAGTTTCATAGTCTACGTATGTAAGTAGGTAATTCCGACATCCTAACATGTAGTTCCGAACATACAACTGTGTTGACTTTGAGTATATACTATGAATGTGTGTATTTTTGATGTTGTAAACTTCGCGCTCTGAAGAAAACACAAAGACAATTGACAAGTCTACAAATGTAAAGTCTACATGATTGTCGAATTTAGATAATGAGAAACTATGGAGGGGCATCAGTGCCACATTTTATCCTCTTTTTTTTATTATAACTTCTTCTTCCAACTGAAATAAATTATTTAGATTTTATTTCTTTTTTTTTATTCTAACTTCCAATTTTATATTAATATTTTCATTTGAATTTCTTATTTAATTTTAATTCTAACTTTTTGTTTAATATATGTTCCAATTTTATTTGCCAGTATGTACTATACCAATAAAATAAGGAGCAATTTCTGATTGTGCCCCCTCAATAATTTTGTCGGTATATAAATACATAAGAGAAGAAATAAGGCTAATTTATCGTTGTGCCCCCTTAACAGGAATGTCTCATTTTGGTGGGGGGTGGGGTGGGTGGGTGGGAGAGAAGCTTATCAAAAAATTTTTGTTTTGTGCCCACTGCTCCACCCCCACCCAATGAAAATGCTTCCTTCGGGCCTGAAAACGAGAGAAAACAAGCAAGAATGATATCATATGGTTTTTAAAGTAAAAAAAAATATGTTCCAGGGAAATGTTTCTACTCTTCGTAGCTAGATTGTTCGCCAAGATCTCTGTGTACTTATAGATAAGAGGTCGTAGCGCCCCTTTTCGTTTAAATTTTATTCGGATTTCTTAGTTTAACTCTGTAAGTTCTACTTTCTAAAACAAACTATCGATTTTGCTTATAGTTGTTACCAGAGGCGTAGTCACAAACTTAAAATTGGGGGGGGGGGGCTTAAATCCAAGAAAGATGTAAAACGTGTAATATAAAGATATTAGCAATTTCACTTTGAGGGGGCACAACCATACATTCCTTGACAAGCAAAAAAAAAAAAAAAAAAAAAAAAAAGGCATCAGACGTTATTATTGAGGAAGCACAATCATATAGTCGCTATGTTTTCTATAGTATTCTATATATCGGCAAAATTATTAGGGGGCATGCCCCCCCCCCCCCCGATTCCTACGGCCAACGGCCATGATTAAGATGTAAAACATGTAACATCAAGCCCCTGTCTAAGCTAGTTGAATGAGAGGACTTCAAATAGTGCACTTAAAGTTGATTGACATTCATCATAGGTATACCGAAATCAGAATCTCCAATACTGCAGCTATCTTGTAGAAATTACTAATTTTGATGAGATTCGGATTTGCTAGGATATATTCTAAAGTATATTACATTACTATTACTTCAAGAGAAATGCTTACTCAGTTGTTACTGAAAATAAAATAAATTTGCCATAAAATGAGGTTTAATATAATTTCAACATAGCTGTGATTTTGTTCTACATTAAGTGGGGGGGGGGCAGACATACTCTTGCCCCCCCCCCCGTGACTTCGCCCCTGGTTGTTACCAAAAAAAGTATCAAGTTACGTAAAGTGAAACAGAATTGAGATAATTTTAAGATAGAATCAAAATACGAAAGGAATCAAAATTGCCATAATAAAATAAAATAAAACTGGAAAATATATCCCAGTCAAAAAAAAAAAAAAAAAAAAAAAAAAAAAAAAAAAAAAAAATCCAACCCAGAAATTTCTTGACAAGCAAAAAAAAAAAAGTAAACTCCTTTCCCAAGCATGAAAAACCTATTTCGCGCGCGCTCGCTTGTGTGTGTGTGTGTTGGGGGAGGGGGGGGGGAGGTAAGTCGTCAACTTAACACAGATCAGCGTTTTCGAGGGGGGTCCAAGGTCACTTTTAGTTCGTTTAGTAATTAATAAGTCTGCAAATTTCAGGGGGAGGGGGGGGGGTGCGGACCCCCTTCTAGATCCGCGCCTTCAAGAAGTAAGAATTAAAATAAGAAATAAAAAACGAAGAATTTAATTTGGAAAACAAAAAGTTAGAATAAAAAAAAAGAAAATAAGAACATTTAAAAATAATTGTGGCACTGATGCCCCTCCATAATTTCTCATTATGTAAATTCGACAATCATGTAGACTTTACATTTGTAGACTTGTCAATTGTCTTTGTGTTTTATTCAGAGCGCGGAAATATAAATTCCGGAAAACCATGTTTACAACATAAAACACACACACACACACACACACACACACATTCATAGTATAAATTCAAAGTCAACACAGTTGTATGTTCGAAACTACATGCTAGGATGTCGGAATTACCTACTTACATATGTAGCCTATGAAACTGATACGATTACAAGTTTGGATTTACAAACTTACAATTTTGGATTTACAAACTTGCAAGTCTGGACTTTTGAACACGATTACCCTCCATAGACAACGGGCAAATTTTTATCAGAAAAGCTCACTTTAGCCTTCGGCACAGGTGAGCAAAAAATACGCAATACCTTTTATTTAACTTTAAGTTCTGTATAAGTGTATATTTTTAGATACTGTTTCAGGTTTACCGAAATAAGATCAAAATTTTATAAGGAGTACAAATAGCTGAACAATAGCTAGTCAGTATATAAAATATTATTTACTGAAATAGACTTTATTAATTGTTACAACTGTTTATTTCAAAAAGTAACGAAGGATATTGCTCTTATCATAAATACAGACATAGAACAAAATATATTTACCGCTTTAGTTTTCCTGGTTTTATTCAAACCTGAGTACGAATGCACAGCAGTGATCTTTTAAACTCATTCATGACTATGAGTGCCTCCATTAAACTGTTAATTTGCTGCTAAGATGCAACATCTTCTATCATACCCGATTTATCATACATTTTTGTACTACAACTCTACAAAAGCATGTATGCCTCTAATGAGCTTCTTTGTTTTGTATTGTTTTGTATCTATTCTAGGTTTTTTTATCTATAGAATTTGTAATTTTGTGTGAAAAGAAAATTCATACTTTCTCTATTCAATTAAAAATTGACTCTGATAACATGTTTACATACCAAATCAGTTATTATGTTTTGCGTATTTATGAAATATTCTAAATGTTGATATCAGTATCTAACACCGGAAAGTATAATTTATCTGTGCATATTGCAACAGTAAATGATTTAAAAAATTCATAGACGTCCATAACATCAAGCTGCCACTGGTCTGTTGATTTCCAGATCCAATAACGTGATTTTGGACTCGAACTTTTGATCTTCAGTTTTTGTTAAAGCTTTATCAGGCAAGTAAAAGGACAAGACCATAAGGATAAAAGCCATCGCATACATGATAGAGGTGAAGAAAAAGGCAACATTGTTGTCCCCAGCAATCCGACATATCATCTCTGAAAGTGCAAAGAAAATTTTATTGTCCCATTATGGAATAACCACCAGCAACAAATCACTTCAATGTTTGTTTAGCGAATTTTTCACTCATATGGAGACGCCACCACTTGCTGGTGGAGAGCTGCAAATTTTTAGACCTTTACTCGGCACTCAGGGCCATTGAGCAATGAGGGATCTTTTTCTTGCCAGCACCTACTGCGACCTTGGACCTCGGTTTATACGGTCTCATTCGAAGGACCGGTCTGTACGTCCCGCCGTGGGATTCGAACCCGCGATGCACATGTAAGGTTCAACAGCAAAGGCTCTAACCACTGCGCCACGTGGGCAACAATGAAACTTGGCAATAAGCCTAGACGGTCATTAAAGGAAATAAAGGGTTTAACCAAAAAAGAATATTTTTTGTAGGAACAATGCGTTTTAAATATTTGAGAAACTTATCCCGCATGGGATCTGCAACCCGGACTCAATGGATTTAAATAGCTCAATTACAGAAATGGGCTAACTACATTTTTATCATGCAAAGCAATATGTTTTTCATAAAGCTGGTCTCAAGATCATATAATTTAGAACAGTCTTATTAAGTTTAATTTAAATTTTAATCTGTGCAAAGTTTGGATTAATATTGAAAATATCATCATGAATTTGTATTTTAATATTTTACAAACATGAACCTTCCAGCATTTTGGTCTTGGCCGGGGGGTACGGGTGGGTGTCTGAACAAGTTCTTTTTAATATAAAACATTTTCAATGTATGACCAACTTAGTTCCACCCTGGAACCAGGGGACATGATTTCAAATTAAAACAAATTATTGCATATTATGATTGTAAAAAAAAAATTAGCCATCTACGAGATGTTCAGAAATTAATCATGCAAAATTATTACTAAACAACGTTCACTTAATGAACAATTAAACTAAGTAAATACATGAAACTAATAGTTGTTCTTAACTCTTGACTGATATATATTTCAGAGAAGCTGGAATTAAGTAGAGGCTGCACGACAATGATGTAAGGAAACTGAGAGTTAAGTAGGTCACCTAAGTGACTCTCCTCAATTTTGATTATCTCAAATTATATTCTGAAAGGACTTGCTCATAAACACCCAAATTTAGTCAAATCAATTTTCAGACCTGTTTACCCAAATTGTTGTCTCTCAGTATTTTTCATTAGATTTGTCAGTGAGATTTGGCATTTGCCCGTAAGATTTCACTTTTCGTCGACTGTACATATATTACTAGAAAACAACTGCATTTCTGATTACCAAAACATGGTTTAATAACAAAGCAAATCGTCATACACTGCTCTCTTTTGAGTGATTTCTGTCATTTTTTTAAACCACCGCGTTTTGGGAACTTAAATGTTTGAAAATTTTCTCTTCTTTAGAAACAGATAACGAAAACTAATTGCTAAAATTCATATGAACGGATTTCCGTATTTTCGTTATAGCAAAACGTAAGACGTATTTTGGACTGAAAATCCGTACAAAATACGGTGAAATCGTAAGAGTAAACAGGTCTGAATTTTTTTTATTCATCCGATCATTACATGAATTATATTTTTTTCATACATAAAAAGAAAGTTTTATTTACAAGGTAAAAGAGGCGTGAATATACTTGAAACAGGTAACATTTATACGTAATCAAGGAAATTGCGAAACATTTTAAAGTTTAGTATTCAATTATTTTACCTGCAAGTGGAATTCCTATAAGGGACCCGATTCCCTGCTGCATAGCTGCTATAGAAAGACTGCTAGGAAACCTGTCCACTCCCAACATCCCAAGAAATACTGAAGGGATTTCTGTATGGGTGATTCCTGAAAAGGAATGCAATAGGTATTCGGATTTTAGTCTACCTGTAAGGAACCCTACTCCCAGAAGCCCCCCCCCCCCGAAAAAAAAACAATAAAATTTTTCAGCCAAAAATGATATAAAATAAGAAATAAATATTGTACTGAATGTATCCATAGGGCCAGACACTTTCAATTCTGAAAAGAAAAAAAAAAACAATAAAGAGGCAAGAGGCAAAAACAGAGGAGGTGACGGAGTGAGATGGTATGAACGGAACAGATCAAGAACAAATAATCAGGAAAGTATTTACTCCAGCTTTTTCCTTTTACATACTTCATAAAATACAGAAAAAGTAAAGAATCTACGACTAAACATGTTTTCCACTGAATAGCCATGAACAACTTAAATTTTCATCAAAACAACTTATTTATAACGTAAGTTTTTTTCCCCAATAAACACTAAGCTTGCCTCAGCAGTAAAAATATTCTTGCGCTCATACAATTATTATTAGCTGAAATAATGGAGCCCTATACAGTTTTTCTTATACATGTATGATGTATTTGGGAGAGGGATTAAATTCCATACGGTAACCGTAATGGTAGTGCAAAAATATTTTTTCCTACGACTTCAGGCGAAATAAATTTTGAATTTTTTTTAATGAAACTTTCTTCAAATAAGATGATGATGATATACATGATCAACATAGTCGCCCTTTAAACGGTAAATAAAATCAGCATTAATTTAATGTTCATGTTTTTCAATCGTCGTCTCCAGCTGCCATGACAGATTTTCGCGTGAATGCTTGATATTTAGGTTTGCTTGTTACAGAAAATATCGATGTAGATAAATGATATTGCCGTATCAGCAAAAACATCGATAAATAAATGCATTCGAGAAGGATTTTTTTAAAAAAATATACGTTGATATTTAAGAAATCTCTGTCTAGTTTGTTGGGTGTCCAAGGCATTAACAACAGTTGGAAACATAGGATAGTTTGCCTAAATTATCCCACGTTTCCTGTTGTCGTTAATGTCCCTGGTACCCAACAAACAAGAAAGCGGTTCCTTATGTATACATATATATGTGAAAAAATGTAATTACATGTATAAATCAAAAATGCTTTCTAATCGAATTGGAATAGACGAAGCATTCCATGTTAATTTCCATAGTCCACTGACGTCAGACACAATGACAAGCATTTTTGGCTCATGACCATAAGAGAAATTTACATGCAGTTGCAAATATTAAGCAATATTTACATTTCCAAATTTTTTTCCTTCAGATTCTTTGCAAATTAGAAAAAGTTCATGTACTCATGAACTACCGTGGGGTGAGTAAGAATATTTCCATTGTGATGTGACTGAAGTCAAAAAATAGTGCAAACTTTTTTTTCAAAAATGATCATTGGATGACAAAAATATGTGGCAAGTTATCAGAAAAATAATGTAAATATAAGAGATAAATTTAATTTTTGAGAATTCATGAGGTACATGAACTACAACACTTCACGCCTGCATATTTATCATGAAGCGTTAATGTGTGAAACACTCAAAAATTAAATTCATCTCTTAAATTAACACACTTAACTTACAAAGAGTTATTGTAGAGAAAATGGTTGGAAATGTAAATATTTATGAAATAAGGGATCCCTGTATTCAGTTACAAGATCAGTCCCCTCATCCCAAAATAAAGCAATCAAGGTCAGTACACATGGCGGACAATTCAAGTTTTGACGTGGACATTAAAAAAAAAAAATCCAATATATGGACAAGTTTATAATTTCTTATAATCGTGTTATTTTTGGAAATAAATTAGGGAAAAAAGATATAATTTCCTTGTTACTGAGATTTCATAAGAACTGAGTTCGGTATGAACGAATTTTACTGTATTTACATAGATGTCATTTCTTTTCAGATTCTATTGAACAAAATTAAGAGTCACGTCACTATGAGCTATACCCAGTGAGGTACCGTATAATTATATTGAAATCATATTGCCCCTTACTTGTCAAAAGTATGAAAATAGACAGTTTGTTAAAATTTCTGTGCATTTCAATTAAATAAAAGAATGGTTGAAAAAATGCTTTTCAGTTTACCTGAACATGCGCCAAACACCGCTGAACAAGCGATGATTATTGGATAGGAGCGAGAGAATGCCACCGGAAGTAACGTCAGGATCGCTGTGAACACAACACCAAGATATGCTCGAGTCCGAAGTGCAGGAAACTTCGTCGAGAACCATCCGAATGCTATTCTTGCTATTGAACTTCCGGCTCCCAAGGACGTTATGAATAGGGCAGACGACTGCTCCGAGAAGCCCTCCTCCTCTCCTTTGATTGGCAAGTATGTGAAAGGAGCGGCATAACCAGTGTTGAACAGAAGATGAGCCGTCACAAACAAAACAAAGTTATGCGATTTAAAAAGGCTAAAGTCAAATAGTTCTGTTATTAAAAATCTCTTTTCCGATCGTTTTTCTATAAAAGAACGTTGAATAATTTTATCAATGCCAGCTGACTTAAACATACTGTGGAATCATCATTGCTTATTGGCGACCAATGTTCGTGGTTTTCGTGGGTCACCCTTACAAACGAATTTACATCTTCACGAACAATTTTTCTGTCAAGGTGTTGATTCATTTCATTTGTATGAAAATACATGAAATAACGACCCCACGAACAATAAGATTTGCTTGCCCACGAACATTGACTGCTCTGGAATTTTACAAATATGGACTGACTCTAACAGACTTAAAGAGACATAATGAGTCAAAATCATGTTTCTTTTATGACATTTGTATCATAAAATGAAAGATTAAAAAAATACAAGTTGCGGTCCTTAAAAAAGAACTGCAATACGTGCACCATATGCATGCGTTTCTAACAAAAATCCGGAGAAAAGTTTCTTAGTTGTATTAAAACTGTATATATATTATAGATTTCTTTTATCTTGGTCTGAAAGACTGAAACATTTTTCAATAATCATGAAGTCTTATTGCATATTAAGCTGTAATAAAAAATAACAACACGGCCTTAATATTAAATTGTTGATCTTGGTATCTGTTATTATAAATCAGCCTTGACCATTAACCTCAAAATTTAAAAAAAAAGGTTACTCCTCGCTTCATTTTATCATTCTCTGTAAATTGTTTGACCATGCTTTTCCCATTTTAATTGGTAAAACAATTATATACTATACAGCATACATTTTTATACTAGAACAAGAATATTAATACATGTATATTTATTTACTATTAAGATACATTTGAATGAGAGGAGATTTTGAGCCAGTCCTTACCAATTAATACTATAGTAAACTTTAGTTAACTACAGTTAACTATAGTATCAAAGCAAAAACTTTGAAACTTTGATTTAATTTAGTAAAAACTTTGAAACTTTGATTAACTATAGTGAAAACTTAAAAACTTTGATTAACTTTAGTAAAACTTTGCAAATTTGATCTACCATGGTGAAAACTTCGAAATTTTGATTCACTAATGTGAAAACTTTGAATAACTATACACCAGTGGAATTAGGTTTTGGAAACCCACTCTTGACATTTTATGAAATTCATGGTCAAAATTCATAAAAGCTTCTGTGAACTTTTTTATAACCCCCCCCCCCCCAACAAAAATTGAAGTACAAAGAAATGAATTTTAATGTGAGGTTGTCTCTTGCGCCGATAGATAAGCAACATTTATTCAGATGTTTTAAAGTTCATGCTGATGTAGCATAATTTTTTTTTATGAAGAAAGGAAAATAAGATATTTAAAAAATGAAATTCGAGTCATTTAGAACCAAAATACCTGCTCAATCGACTTTAAAAAACATGTATTTTCTTAATTTTTAAATGTAAATATTGCATTTCAATTAACTATTTTGTAAATCCAAATTCTAATTTAAGATCTACAACAACTCTCACCCCCCCCCCTCAAAAAAAACAAAACAACCCCCCCCAAAAAAAACAAACAAACAAACAAACAAAACAAAAACAAAACAAAAAAAACAACAACAAAAAACGGCAAAATAAGCAATAAATTATTAAAATACTTTAAGAGGATGATAAACTACAGTGAAAACTTTGGAACTTTGATTTACTTTAGTAAACTGTGATAAACTATAGTTTACTATAGTATTTTTTGTTAAGGAGTATATGCTAATAAATATATACCTAAGGTATTCAGAATTATTGTTATCACATGGCATCAATGCGTTAAGTTGATCACGTAAAATAGCGCGAATTGTCTTTGTGAATGTGACGAGTTGTCCCGATAGGAGTTTCATCCGGTTTCACCTTGCATTTATACAGAGTTTTTTCTGCGTGGACCTCAGGGTCCACACAATGAGTATAGCGGAATTTTGAAAAACTGCACTATAAAGCATGCAAAGGGAGGAAAAACAAAGGTTGTATCTGCTGCATCGTTGCTAACGTGTATTTCAAGATCACGCGACTTTTTATGTATAGGGGAAATGCCGGAAACTGTGCATTCTTTGAGAGCAAAAAACTGAACAAGAATCGTAAGCCCGATATTATTTTTTTTCTCTCAAAGAACACAGTTTAAGTACTTTCCCCTAGTTAAAACACGATTTTTGAGAATCAACAACCATCCCCTCCATTCCCCGCGCAAAAAATGAAGAAAACTGGTTTTGTATTCGGAATCAATGATGGTACCATATACATATGTAGGCAATATTAAGTTCATTGTTTATTGAATGGATAGTCACATGTATGTAAAGAGATGTAAAGCCTTTTGTTGAATAGCAATAATTATTATGTCCCATTTTGTCTGAAAATGGACAGTTGCAGATACACAATTATATGTTATTCAAAATCAGTTTGTCGTTTGTTTTGGAGAGGTAAATTTGTCTTTCTCCGAGGAAGAGAGTAAAATTTGGACAGAATCAAATTATGTCTCTGTATCTTTTTAAGATAAAAAGTTAAATATTTTTATTTTTAAAATAAAATGTTTGTACTTACTTCGAGTTTGAAATTTGCTTGGTTTGGATAAGCAGGAAAATACGACACAATTCAAACAAATGCCTGAACATAAAAGGAAGGATCCCTTTAATCCAAAAGTTGTGTGTAAGTAAACATAAAATGGCGGGAAACTTATCATACCCACACCAGCGCCAGCCAGGCAAATTCCCCAAGCAAGGGACATTTTTTGCACAAAATATCCTTTCAAAATTATTGTTGATGAAAACATCACTAAATTCATACCAATACCTGCAAAAACGATTAATTTTATAAACCGCTATTTAAATTAGCAATTATAAAATCTGAAAAGCGAGTTTACATAGAAACTACAGGCACTCTTTGCAGATACAGTAGAACCTGCTGAAAACGAAGTCAGATAAAAAGAAAGGTCTGTATAAAGGAAGTATTCATTTTAACACTTTCTTGTGTAGATATGAAGAATTTCGATTATTCTTAAAAAAGAACATTACATATCCCCAGGACTTCCTTTAAAGCAAGTTTAACTAATATACAAAATTTTTATTTCATTATCAACATTATAACTTACCTGGAAGAATCCCCAGGCACAAAATCAGCACCGGAACTGAAGAGATAAAGGCTGCGCAGAGGAACCCCACACTAATCAATATATTTCCGGTTATAATTAGTAACCTGCAAGGTACCAGTTCCGTTAGGATGGACACAAGTGGTGCTGAAATGGAAATCAAGTAATTCTAAACGAGAACACCTCCACATAAGTCTAAACAACAAAATGAATAAATCGTGAACAAATTATTCTTACGAAAGTAAGACAATATTACATAAGTTATACTAATTACCCTTAAAAAATTTACTATAGGTAACTATAGTTTACTATTATAATTGCTTTGAAGTGCAAAAACTAGCACTTTCCCATATAATCCTATACTAAATGTACCTGTATTTTGAGAGGGTCCCTGATAAATAAACAGACAATAGATTTTCCCTAAACTTCGTTTGCACACTGAAGTCAATGTCTCTTACATATGATATAAATTTATAGAGTTTTTCTATTGTAGTTTTCACACAGTAAACCCCCACTTGTCTCCCTGAACTGTGGCTTGGATGGATTATTAGTACAAGGTTACGTTTTTCCTTAATCCGAAGAGTGGCTTGAAAATAATTATACCAAGTGCACTTTATCAATGATACAAAAAGTCATCGATGTTTAAAATAATTTTACTGTTTTTTTTCTGGATTATTTTCCAGGCTATTTCTTATATTCGCCTGTGATGACTCTCACCTGAAAGTGTATTAAGTCCAGTCATTAAAGAGCCGATCCAGCCAATCACAGCCAGATCAGCGGAGGTGGTCTTGACCAGTTCACTGTGGATTATCCCGGTCGCTCCCCGTATCCCTATATGAATTACGAAGGTAGAAAACACTGCGGCTACCACTACCCACCCATACCCACCCTCTGGTCGATTTCCTTCCGGTGACATCATACGGCAGAATGTATCCATGTTATTGCATAACATTATCACACCTAAAAATAAACAAGACACTAGTTATTTCAACCCCTATATTGAGGAATATGGCTCGGAAAAAGGACACAACAATCCAGAAAATACATTTATTCCATATTTTCCCCTAAAATTTCAAATTAAAATACCTCAACAGGAGAACATAAGATTGATCCTCATGGCTTTGGTCTACATCAAAAAATATTTTGAAAGATAAAAACTAAATTCTGCCCTTTGTAGATACTAGTACACAGGGAGTTCATATACCACAAAGCCCATTCCTTGTCTTCCTGTAATGTGATCAATGTTTGAAGCACTACTGTTAATACACTGTACTTTAATGAGAGGTAAAGGAAAGGCTTGGTAGAACATTTACTGGAACCCGCAAAACATATGAAACTTTTAATACATTAACACAATGCTGCAATACAGCAGTTATCATATGACTCAATTACTAACGATATAGTTTATATTTGCTAACAATATGAAATTTCTTAACAATCACATCAGACAAAATACCTTATGTGAATTTAACCAAGTCCTTGAAGGATAAAGAAGAGTATATGTGTACAAGACCAATGATATATATACATGTATTACACATTGATTCTTGATCTTGGAAGGTTTTTCAACATGGTAAAAATGCATGATGTATTAATGCAACATATTTTGCATTTGACATGTTTCACTTTCTTTCTGCACGCTGAGTGCCTCAAGTAAAAATTTCAAAAATGTTTTACAAAATATCAGCGTTATAAATGTACGTTTCTACTCAATTGATGTTTTATGTAGTATATTTAAGTTTTTATTGCTGTTTGTAGTCTTTTAAATGGCTTTTGTCTGAGTGAATATTGATATCAGTGAAATATGAAGATAACAAACAGTATTCAAGCTCAAAGTCCATTTAAACAATACAAATCGGAAGCAGAGCAAACACGGACCTCCAAAAACATCAGAGAGGGGATCAGGTACCATGGAGGAGTGAACAATCCCTGCCTACCAGTCACACCCGCTGTGGGCTCCTTGTCATGATTGGGAAAAAACGGAAAAATCCGTATACATCTTAGTGTGTAAATAATGACCTAATTAGTATGAAGAACGTCAGTCAGCATTCGACTTAATGATAGGTTATATTTGCTCATGGTCATTGTATCCACCATAAAAACCTGATGAAATGATGACTTTAAACGAGACTGTTGATATCCTTGTTTCATCAACTTGTTTGTAAATAGCTTGTCTCGTTTTAGAAATTGTTCATACGTAGAGCTTCATCTTGCGTATCGAACTGGGAGACAAAAACCCCACATGCAGGTGATAAGGATATATTGCTACATAAGAAAGGGAAGCTGACGATTGGAAAATTGAAGTCATTACGTTTATCATAAAGCTTTGTAATTAGGTTACCATTAAAGTCTTTTCTAATAAAAAAAAATCCAAATATGAAACAGATGTGTCAGACTCTGTGGTATCTTTTATTTCAAGCTCATTGGGGTATATCGAGTCGACATATGGATGCAAGTAACTATTGTTCTTGATAATACGTCGTCGATAAATCTAAATGTCTAGTTGAAGCTTAAAGCCAAACCACTGTGTTTCCTTCTTTTCATGTAGAAGTTTTTGAATAAATTCTGCTTCATATGAAAACAAGAATAGATCTGCTAATAAGGGGACGCAATTGGTACCTATGGGAATTCCAACAGATTGGTGGGAGATATGATCTCCAAGTACTACATGTATGTTGTCAAAGAAGAAGGACGAAATAATGAATTCAAGTTCAAGTTCAAGTTCAATTTATTCACCCAAACCAAAATATTAGTACATGGGGTTCATGAATAACATATATACATTATATACAATCTGGTCAGAGGTACATATACAAAACAAAAAACATGACAGATGATTGAAAAAGAAAATAAATAAATAAGAGAGGGGAAACTATATCAAGGAGGACAGACAGCATCATAATTTTTTAAGATAAACATACATAGTTTTTTTCAGCATTTTTTCGTTTTTGGTTGACATTAGTTCCATGAATTTAATAACATTAGGTCTGTGGGGATAATAATTGCCCAGGTAATTTTTTCTTACATAAGCTAAGTTTTACATTCTAAGATATAATGAAATTCATCAGCAGTTTGAGTATTATTACAAAGTTCCATATTCTATCACACAGTGGTATACCATACCATCTTCCAATCTCTACTGGCAGATAATGATTTGCAGTTCGAAATTTTATAAATATTTTTTCTAAATTTAGGAAATAACTTATCAATATAATGTTCAGATCCAAAGTTTTGTTTAAAGATTCTGTAAATCTGTCCTTTTGAAGAATTATTTACGTCACTCTAGACCACTTTTGAATAAATTGATCTTGTAATATTTGTTTTACAGTAGCAGTTATCCATTTATAATTCATATTGACACCCTGTTCGTACCATACATTTGATTAACCACACATATTACATATTTTCTGTATACAATCGGGTTTGTTAAGTTTCCATCACTTTAATCATATGTTTGTATAAAACATTTACAATTTTATTTGGCAGGCTTGAAAAAAAGCTTTGCCCAATATGAAATCATTCTACAATATACCGAAATATACAGAGGAAAGCGACCTGTTTCACCATAGACCATGTACGATGGCGTGGAACTTTTCAAATTAAATACATACTTTATAAACTTCAAGTGCAAACGCTCAATAATACATGTGTATCAAGATTTTCATAGCTCTATATTTCAGAGCCATATACATGTAGTAAGACCGGAACTACAACTCTATCAAAAAGGTCAAATTGACAGTCTACTGGTAATTGAAATTGTCTAATTTTTCTTATAATGCCATACATCGCTTTTGTTGCTTGTTCATATAAGTGTTTTTTTTTGTTTTACAAAAGGAACCTGTGCGTGAAAAAACAACGCCTAAATATTTAAACTCTCTAACATTTTCAATAACTAAGTTGTCGTAATAAAATTTTCTTTTTAACATAGGACCCTGTGAAAATACTAGAATCTTCGTTTTTTTTTCGACATTCACTTTCAACTTCCATTGTAAACAATATGTCTGAAATTATTGATTGCATGTTGTAATTCATCGGCTGATTCAGCCATAATAACAGTGTCATCCGCATAAAAGAGAATCAACAATTTAAAATACATTAGTTATTCGCTCTCAATGCTTCTTGAAATACTTTGTAAACCTGCAATATTCTTGTTCAGTAAAAAATCTTCAAGATCATTAATATACATTGAAATTAAAAAAGGTGAAAGATTTTCTCGCTGCCTTACTCCTACATTACAACTAAAAAATTCTGTGGACATGCCATTTATTTTCACCATAGATTTAACACCTTTGTACATATTTTGAATGTATTGAAAACATTTACCATTTATTCCGAACAAAGAAAGTTTGTAGTAACGCAAAAACAGCCAAAACAGCCAAATCATTGGCAAAATTGACCAAACTTAAACCACGTTATTCAATATTCACTTACTCGACTTCTTTACTTCTTTACTCAAGGAAGCACTAAGCTGTGTAATATCTAAAATGACATTTAATAATTAAAACATTTAAAATGTGCCTATTATAGATAATTGTATGTTGAGGATAGTGAAGATGTGCAAATATGGAAAGGTACAGGGAAAATGATTCGTCAAAAATTGCCAATTATTTGAGGGATTTTCTCCAATTTAAATGGTATTGTCTTATGACGGGAATAAAACCGTGTTGTGAGGAAAAAATAGTTTTATTAAAAGGAACTAAAACTTGCAAAGGTAAGACACGGACATGTACAAGACAACGTGGATCCTGGAAAGTATAGACAAAATTCTATCTTCCCCACACATTGTCAAATTGGAAAATTATACATCAAGGACTCAGAAATTTGGAGTCTTTCAAAGGAAGAAAAATTATAGACATGTAACTTCAATTAAAATTTTTGTTCTACAAATTCATTTCTTTTATATTCAGTTAGACAAATAATATTAAGATGATTAAGAAATCTACGGAAATCAGAACTCATCATTGAACTCATCAGAAAGATGTGTGTTGAATTAATTAATCTGCATGTAAAAATGTACTTTGTTCAATTTTTCAATTGGCGTGCAGAATTGTGAATATCCTATCAAAACTATTACATATGTGAAAGTTAATCATGTTTTAATGAATACATGATGCCTTGTCTTCATACACATACATGTATGTAGCACGTGATGAATAATATTTAAGAGTATTTTTACATATATTGGGTTACCAAAAAAAGGAAAAAGGAATAATGAAAGGAAACAGGTACTATGATATTTTTTTTTAAAAAAAAGAAAGAAATTGACGTCTGCAATTAACAAACAATTCTCCGATTAATGAACTTGATTAATTATCTATTGTAGACATAATGACCAATTTATTTTTAAATAAATCTATTTCCTCTTCACAAAATACTTTTATATCCGACATAAGACAATACTGTATAAAAAGTTTTGTCTTTAGAAAAGGGAAAAATGATATTATCGGACAATTTGTGAGAAATCATTTCCTCTACACTATTTCAGATTTTTATCCTCAGTATCCGTCTAATCACGGTTTTCGGAGTATAAGTATTTATATTAAGCACATTTAAAATGTTTCAGTTACTAGGTGTTCCTCTCAAAGATTATACAGCTTTGAGCTTTCTTTGGCTTTTTAAATATAACTTTACTTTGATCAGTATTTTAACTACAATACAGTAAAATTTGAAAGAAAAGAAAATCAGGTAAGTATCTCTATTCCTTTTCAATTCTGGAATATTCTTAGTAAGTTCTCCAACAAAATTAACCAAAAAATCTTATATTCAAAGAAATAATGCTGAAATAAATAAAAGAAACAAATACTCCAGGGACTTTTCAAAATTGTCTTTGCAAAAGTTATTCTTGGTTAAAGCAAGAGTAAGGGAGAGGAAGGTGCTTTCAATGCCTACAAATGTTCCATTTATAGCTTTTTTTTCAGGTATCTATGTTAAAATTTT